CCCTTTAAGAGCAGCGAGGCTCCGCCCACCGCCCCCCATTGGTGCAGCCGCCGTCCAATGGGAGCGGCCGCTGCCGCCTCCTCGCCGCTGATTGGGCGCGGTGACGCTCCGGGTGACGTCACGGCCGTTGCTGGGCGACAGCCAATGGCGAGCGGGCTGCTCCGCCCCCTGCTCCTGATTGGCCGAGGGGGCCGAAACCGCCAGCCAATAAACGATCGAGTTGTCGGAGTCACGGGGTTTTTACGTCACGGGGCGGGGCCTGGGATAGCCCCGCCCACTTTGGGCTCAAAAAAAATTCCCAAAAATCTCCAAATTGCCCCAAAATCCCCCAAATTTCCCCAAAAACTCCCGAGTTTGCCACAAAAATCCCAAAATTTTCCCCAAAACCCCAAAACTGCCAATTCTGTGCCCAAAAGTGGCACAAAAAAACCCAAATCCGCCCCAAAAACTGACCCCAAAACCTCAAAACTTTCCCAAAAACCCCAAAACTGCCAATTCTGTGCCCAAAAGTGGCACAAAAAAAACCCAAATCCGCCCCAAAAACTGACCCAAAAACCCTAAAACTGCCCCAAAATCCTCCAAAATGCCCCCAAAACTGCAGAATTTGCCACAAAAATCCCAAAACTTTCCCAAAAACCCCAAAACCGCCAATTCTGTGCCCAAAAGTGGCACAAAAAAAACCCAAATCCGCCCTAAACTGTCCCAAAAACCCCATTTGCGCCAAAAACCCCCAAATTTCACCCAAAACCCGAAATCCTCCCAAAATCCCTTAAATCTGATACAACCCTCCCCAAATTTCCCCATAAAAACCCCAAATCCGCCCCAAAACCACCCAAATTTGTCCCCAAAGACCCCCAAACTTCCCCAAAACCCTCAAAAATTCCAAAAACTGCCCCAAAATCCTCCCAAAACTGCCCCAAAATCTGATACAAAACCTCCCTCCCCAAATTTCCCCCAAAAAAACCCCAAATCCGCCCCAAAACCACCCAAATCTGTCCCCAAAAACCTCAAAATCCCCAAAATACTGCAAAACCCCCAAAATTGCCCCAAAGATTGCCAGAACTGCCCCAAAATATCCAAAATCTGATACAAAACCCTCCTCCCCAAATTCCTCCAAAAAACCCCAAAACCACCCAAATCTGTACTAAAAACCCCCAAATTTCACCCAAAATCCCCCAAATTTGATACAACCCCCCCTGAATTTCCCCAAAAAAACCCCAAAACCACCAGGATTTGTTCCCAAAAATGTCGAAAATTCCCGAAACTGCTGCGAAAACTCCGAAACTGCCCCAAACTCCCCGAAATTTCGTGGGGGGGCGGAGCGGCTTTATTGAATTTTGGGGGGGAGGGGCTTCGGGGTGGGGGAGGGGCTTTGGGGGAGGGGCTTTGGGGTGGGGGAGGGTCAGAAGAAGTCGACGTCCTCGGGCGCGTCCAGGTCCCGGTACTCGACGATGGCGCGGGGGTCGCCCCGCACCAGCCTGGGGAGAAGCGCCCCGAAATCAGACCCGAAACGCCCCAAATTCACCCCAAAATCAGCCCCGAAATTCAGCTCCAAAATGCCCAAATTCACCCCAAAATCAGCCCCGAAATGCCCCAAATTCACCCCAAAATCAGACCCAAAACGCCCCAAATTCACCCCAAAATCAGCCCCGAAATGCCCCGAAATTCAGCTCCAAAATGCCCCAAATTCACCCCAAAATTCAGCTCCAAAATGCCCCAAAATTCAGCTCCAAAATGCCCCAAATTCACCCCGAAATCAGACCCAAAATGCCCCGAAATTCAGCTCCAAAATGCCCCAAATTCACCCCAAAATCAGCCCCAAATTCAGCCGGAAATTCAGCTCCAAAATGCCCCAAATTCACCCCAAAATCAGCCCCAAAATGCCCCGAAATTCACCCCGAAATTCAGCTCCAAAACGCCCCAAATTCACCCCAAAATCAGCCCCAAAATGCCCCGAAATTCAGCTCCAAAATGCCCCAAATTCACCCCAAAATCAGCCCCGAAATGCCCCAAATTCACCCCAAAATCAGCCCCAAAATGCCCCAAATTCACCCCAAAATCAGCCCCGAAATCAGCTCCAAAACGCCCCAAATTCACCCCAAGATCAGCCCCAAAATGCCCCAAATTCACCCCGAAATTCAGCTCCAAAATGCCCCAAATTCACCCCGAAATTCAGCTCCAAAACGCCCCAAATTCACCCCGAAATCAGACCCGAAATGCCCCAAATTCACCCCAAAATTCAGCCCCAAAATGCCCCAAATTCACCCCAAAATCAGCCCCGAAATGCCCCAAATTCACCCCAAAATTCAGCTCCAAAATGCCCCAAATTCACCCCAGAAATGCCCGAAATTCACCCCAAAATTCAGCTCCAAAATGCCCCAAATTCACCCCAGAAATGCCCCAAATTCACCCCGAAATTCAACTCCAAAATGCCCCAAATTCACCCCAAAATTCAGCTCCAAAACGCCCCAAATTCACCCCAAAATCAGACCCGAAATGCCCCAAAATTCAGCTCCAAAATGCCCCAAATTCACCTTGAAATTCAGCTCCAAAATGCCCCAAATTCACCCCGAAATTCAGCTCCAAAATGCCCCAAATTCACCCCAAAATCAGACCCGAAATGCCCCAAATTCAGCCCAAAATCAGCCCCGAAATTCAGCTCCAAAACACCCCAAATTCACCCCAAAATCAGCCCCGAAATGCCCCAAATTCACCCCAAAATCAGCCCCAAATTCACCCCAAAATCAGACCCGAAACGCCCCAAATTCACCCCAAAATCAGCCCCAAAATTCAGCTCCAAAACACCCCAAATTCACCCCAAAATCAGCCCCGAAATTCAGCTCCAAAACGCCCCAAATTCACCCCAAAATCGGCCCCGAAATCAGACCCGAAACGCCCCAAATTCACCCCAAAATTCAGCTCCAAAACACCCCAAATTCACCCCAAAATCAGCCCCGAAATGCCCCGAAATTCAGCTCCAAAATGCCCCAAATTCACCCCAAAATTCAGCCCCAAAATGCCCCAAATTCACCCCAAAATTCAGCTCCAAAACGCCCCAAATTCACCCCAAAATTCAGCTCCAAAATGCCCCAAATTCACCCCGAAATCAGACCCGAAACGCCCCAAATTCACCCCAAAATCAGCCCCGAAATGCCCCAAATTCACCCCAAAATTCAGCTCCAAAATGCCCCAAATTCACCCCAAAATTCAGCTCCAAAACGCCCCAAATTCACCCTGAAAATCAGCCCGAAATACCCCAATTTTTGGGTCCCGATCCCAAATTTTTGGGTCTGCCATCCCATTTTTGGGTCCTTGATCCAATTTTTGGGCTCCCATCCCCATTTTTGGGTCCCCATCCCAAATTTTTGGGTCCCCATCCCATTTTTGTGTCCCCCATCCCATTTTTGGGTCCCCATCCCCAATTTTGAGGTCCCCATCCCCAATTTTGGTGTCCTGGATCTCATTTTGGGTCCCCATCCCCACTTTTGGGGTCCCCATTTCAACTTTTTGGGTCCCCATCCCCATTTTTTGGGTCACCATCCCCAATTTTGGGTCCCCATCCCCATTTTTTGGGTCCCCGATCCCAATTTTTGGGTCCCCGACCCCGATTTTTGGGGTCCCCACCCCAAATTTGGGGTCCCCCTCACCTGCTGCGGGGTTTGTTCAGGTACCCCCCCCCGGCCCCCCCCTGCCCCCGGAAGGTTTCGTAGCTGCCGCGACCCCCGTAGGGCCCGGGGGGGTAGGGGTGGGACCCTGTGGGGAAAAAAGGGTTAAAAACAGCCGAAAATTCCCAAAATATCCAAAAATACCAAAAATACCCCAAAAACCACGCAAAAATCCGCCCAAAAACACCCAAAATATCCCCAAAAAACCAACCCGAACCCCCGCAGGGCCCAGGGGGGTAGGGGTGGGATCCTGCGGGGAAAAAAGGGTTAAAAACAGCCGAAAATTCCAAAAATATCCAAAAATATCCAAAAACACCCAAAATACCCCCAAAACCATGCAAAAATCCGCCCCAAAACACCCAAAATATCCCCAAAAAACCAATCCCAACCCCCGCAGGGCCCGGGGGGGCAGGGGTGGGACCCTGTGGGGAAAAAAGGGTTAAAAACACCCGAAAATTCCCAAAATATCCAAAAATATCCAAAAACCGCACAGAAATATCCAAAACCCACCCAAAATACCCCAAAAAACACCCAAAATATCCCCAAAAAACCAACCCAAACCCCCGTAGGGCCCGGGGGGGTAGGGGTGGGACCCTGTGGGGAGAAAAGGGTTAAAAACACCCGAAAATTCCCAAAATATCCAAAAATATCAAAAAACACCAAAAACACCCCAAAAACCACGCAAAAATCAGCCCAAAAACACCCAAAATATCCCCAAAAAACCAACCCGAACCCCCGTAGGGCCCGGGGGGGTAGGGGTGGGACCCTGCGGGGAAAAAAGGGTTAAAAACACCCGAAAATTCCCAAAATATCAAAAATATCAAAAAACACCCAAAATACCCCAAAAACCACCCAAAAATCCACCCAAAATATCCCCCAAAACCAACCCAAACCCCTGTAGGGGTAGGGGTGGGACCCTGCGGGGAGGAAAGGGTTAAAAACACCCCAAAATTCCCAAAATATCCAAAAATATTCAAAATATCCCAAAAAACTGCACAAAAATATGCAAAATATGCCAAAAACCACCCAAAATATCCCCAAAATCAGCCCAAACCCCTGAGGGACACGGGTGGGACCCTGCAGGGAAACAAAGGGTTAAAAACACCCCAAAATCCCCAAAAATCCCCCAAACCCCCAATTTCCCCCAAA